TTTTTTTTTTTTTTAATCTTAGACATTCTGACTGGGGTTGTTTTGATCTGCATTTCCCTTACAATGAGGGATGTTAAACACCTTTTTATATGCCTTTTGGCTATTTGCATGTCATCTTTAGAGAGTGTTTTTTTCAACTCCTTCTCCCATCTTTTAATAGGGTTGATCATCTTTTTTCCAAACAGCTTCTTTAGTTCCTTGTGTATTCTGGTTAACAGTCCTTTATCTGATGCATAATTTACAAAAATATTTTCCCATTCTGAGGGCTGTTGATTCAAACTAATTACTGTGTCTTTTGCCATGCAGAAACTTCTTAGTCTGATGTAATCCTACTTGTCTATTCTGGGGATTATCGACTGTGCTTTGGGGGTCTTATTTAAGAAATCTTTTCCTGCACCAATGTCTCCCAGAGTTTCCCCAGTGTTTTCCAGGAGCAGTTTTATAGTTTGAGGTCTTAGATTTTGACAACCACGAAGTTGCTACATGGTAAAGTCAACTAGTGACTTGTTTTCATGTTAGAATGTGTGGTTATATTATTATTGAAGAGGGACTACAGTTTCTATGAGCCTTCTTAGTGTAGATTGCTGCTGGTACAGTCTTATGTCACTTAATTTATCCTAGCATTGGTTTTATTGCGATCACAGAAAAAGAATCTCAAAAATGTTCAGTAGTGGTAGCTGCTAGGCACCTGTGGGTAGTGAGTATTCAGAGTAAGTGTAGTTAGAATTGAGAAATGCTTTAAGTGTAAAATGCACACTTGGTTTCAAGAACTTAATACAAAATAAGAAAGATAACGTATCTCACAAATACTTAGTTTTATTGACTACATGTTGAAATAGTATTTTTGATGACTTTGGATAAATAATATACTGTCATTGAAATTACTTTCCCACATTTCTTAATGTGGTTACTAGAAAATTATAAATTACATGTTAGGTCACCTAATTTTGTTAGCGCTGCTCTAAAGCTTCCTTTTTTTTTAAGTTTTTTTTTCAGAATTTATATTAATTTTTTAATTGTGCACATAGTATTTGTTTCTCCCTCTTCCTTTCTATTCTTACAGTCTTCCCTCAATTCTCTCACTAACCTTATTTAAGTATTAAATAACTTGCAGGATTTGCAGTGAAATCAGAGGTGTCATCACCTAACCAAACCTTCTTCTCAAAGGCATTATTCATTAACTTAACAAGAAAGATAAAGTCTTAGCTCTTTTATTCTTTGCCACAAACATACAAATTTTCTGTCTGTCCATCTTCTCTCTATGATTGTATCCTTTTGTTTCTATCACAATACATTATGCACATTACTGTGACACTAATCAATATTAAAACATACATTGTACTGTGATTTTTATTTCTAGTTCAGCATCTTCTTTTCCCTGGAATTAATAATTGTTTCAATTTTTATTTCATTAATTTTCTTTTTTTTTTCTTTTTTTTTTTTTTTTTGGTATACGGCGGGTGGCGTCGCTCGGAATGCCTATACGGCGTGTGCGCTCGCCAGACAGACAGACAGAAAGCAAGAAATCACCCCCCTCGGGGGGGATGGCCACGCCGCAGTCCTTTCTCCATTCTCCTCCTGGGATCTTGGGCACGCACGCACACACGCCGGCGTGAGTTTTAAGCCACCGTGTCCAGGACTCGAACCGTGGTCGACTACATGGGAGTCCAGCGACATAGCCATTACACTAACTGCTGGTCCCAATTTTCTATATTTTACTGATTAAATCCTGAGTCTTCTGCATTTGTTTGAATCTCTTCTTAAAACATAGAAACACGTTGGGTATTCTATTAATTTTAGTTTCTTGAAGAAATCTTTTCTTGGGTTTATTTTTATTCTAGTCTGGACTGGTAGCATAATTGTTGTCTGGGAAACTCCATCATAAACTTTGGGGTCTCTTTTATCTATCTGGAATCCAAGAAACAAGCCTTTACTTGGCTGGATTTGGTAGTTATTTTTACTTAAGAGTTAGGAATTGTACCATTTCCTTGTAAACTTCTATTGCCTTTAACAGGTTGTATAGCACTCTTTCTTGTTTTTTGTTTTGTTTTGTTTTTGTT